ACAGGGTCAAAATTATAAATTACGGAGTAATTCTCAAAATGTATTCATTAAAACACGTGTGAATAGTACTTGGCCAAAAAGGTTGCCATTCGAATCTTACTAAGCGCATGCTTTGTTTCATTTTTTCTCTTCAGTCATTTGGCCTTGCTGAGTTGCTGTGCGCCTTAGCTTTTTTTCTTTTCATCTTTTCGCATTTCTGATCTTCAGATTATTATTATTAATTACATTATTTATTATTATTATTATTATTATTATTATTATTGTAGAAATGTACAAATAATATATGAGATGATTGTACTTTTTTTTTTGAAAGCTGATGATTGTACTTAATAAAATAGAAAATTAGAAACTAGAAAATTGGAGGAATGGAATGAAATGGAAAACGGGAAGAATGGAGAAAGAAAACTGAAAAAATGAAGAAATTGAAAAATAGAGAAATGAAGTAAACACCCCCTTAAATTTTTTTTTTTTTCCGACAAGATGTGAAATTCTGGATATAAGTATAAGTAGACTACTATATACTTTGATTTATAGAAATCTCACAACGATTAACTACATGAAGGTGCGCACTGGGTGAAGCTCGTCTTGTAGTCTTTGTTATTAACAAAGGACAAGATAAACCAGATTGCCAATAGTTGGCAGACTCAAACTAAAAAGGACAATAGTCAATTCCAATGGGAAGTCAAACTTAACCTTGTTACCAAACTAACTATCCAACCAACTTGCACTATATATTGAATATGACTCATGTTCAAATGAATCCGCACCTTAACGTGCGGTCGGTGTGACCGCTTTAAAAAGGCACCAATAGTGTTAACAAAAGATACAACAATGAAATGCACAAATACAACACAGAACGCATCCAAAAAAATGCACCATAACTCCTCACAACTAATTATGCATTTCCGAACACTGTGTGGTGTTTTTATGCATACACTATTGGTGTCTTTTTAAAGCGGTCACACCGACCGCACGCTAAGGCGCGGCCTCATTTGAACATGAGTCATATTAACAAAAGATACAACAATGAAATGCACAAATACAACATAGAACGCACAACACATCCAAAAAAATGCACCATAACTCCTCACACCTAATTATGCATTTCCGAACACTGTGTGGTGTTTTTATGCATACATAATGGTGTGTTTTTGGTGATCCGTACCTAATAATGATGCATATTTATACTTTTTTTTTGTTTTGCATTTCCTAACACTGTTGGTCCATATTTCCATAACTATTGGTGTACTGACCGCACGTTAAGGCGCGACCGCACCTGAACTCTACTCTACTGAATATAATATAATTAAGTAATGAACCATACCCAAATTGATCGCGCACGTACCTCGACACAAATCTCAAGTCCTCCTGATGCACAGCTTGAACCATGTTGAAGTCTAGTTTAGCCAACTCCAAAAGGATGGGATTCCAGGTTGTTTTGATCCTTTTTCCTTTGTCATATGAATCAATGAAACATCTGGCTTCCGACCTCGGCATCCTCCAATGTAATGGGAGCTCCAACGCACGTTGCACTGATGCTAAAAGTCCTTGCTGATTGTTGAGATTATTTTTCTCGTGGGCGACCCGTTTGAGATGTTTGGTTGAGAAATTTTTAGCTAATTCCAAAGTTGTTTCACCTTCTAGGGACAGGAAAGATGCTTCATATAAGTGAAGTAATCCCTTGATATCTTCGCAGAGGCTGCCATTAAAACCAGACCGGTCTCCATCCATAAAACTATCAAATATATCTGCATTCAAGTGTTCATGATGTTGTACATACACATTCCATTATATATTAAGAAATTAGGATTTTTTTTACTGTACCGATAATATCAAGTACATACAATTATATATCTCTCCCAAAAGGTTGAATCTCCAACCCGACAGCAGACAGGGCCAAATGTCGGTGCGCACAAGGAATTTGCCCACTTTGGACATAATTCCCACCCTGTCGCCACCAAAGTTCAAACCTTGGTCTCTTCTCCCAAATACTACCCACTAAACCATTGAGTTAAACTCATGCGGGTAATTATATATCTTATACTTAAGGTGGGCAGTGGTAAATCTCATCTTGTGATCCTAGTCTGCAAAGGACCAGTCTAGGTTGCCCATAGCTAATGGATTCAAATTAAAAACGCCAAATGACGCTCTCAGTGGGAGTCAAACTGGAAACGTTGTTAATCCTAGTCGGCAAAGAATCACAATAAGGAGGTAAACCAGCCTAGCTAGGTTACCGTTAGCTAACCGATTGAAATCAAAAAGACTAATTGACTACTCCCATGGAGTGTCGAACTTAAAACCTTGTGAGTTTAGACGGCAAAGGACCACTACATAAGGGGATAAATCAATTTAGACTACCATAACTAACTGGCTCAAATTAAGCCAACAACTTAATTAACAAACTTCATCACTGCGATTACACCTAAGAAATAAATAAAGAAAAAAAAATAATATATACATAATTGTACTTGACACCATTAACATGTATACTGATCCGCAGTATATATTGTAATAACCTTGAGAGATGTTATAGCCATTTTGTCTGAGCAATCTAAACTCAAGAGCTGTGGCATATAAGTCTTTCTCCTCTGATGACTTGTAGTAACTTTTACTATTCTTCATATAGATGTCCATCAAAGCTGCCTTGATTTCATCCTCAAAATGGTAACAACAACCAAGCCTCTGCAGTTCATCAATCATCTCCATTTTCTCCAATTCTTTCATCTCTTCATGGTTCATCAGCATATTCTTAACTCTCTCTTTCAACTCGTCACGCCGTGTAACAAAGCTCTCAGCCTGCAATGCAAGCCTTACGTTTGGCAACAACATTTGCTTCTAGTTCATATGGAAATTGACAGAATGTTACAGGCCGGAAAATTAAGTATGAAGGTAATTAAGAATATTAAGCGATTGTAAATAGATAAACATAATTAAGGAAAAACCATAAAAAAAAAATTAAATAAAATAAGTTACATTATAAGTAGTGTTGAGAGATTGAATGTAAGTGAAATCCCATGCGGAAGGGCCATAGTTTCCAGATCTTCTTGTTGTTGTGGTGGTCTGATAGGAATGAGAAGTTGGAAGGGAAGGAAGTTTGCATGTGAAAGTTGAAAGTACACTGACAATTGCAGCCATTGAATAATAATAAAATTGCTTAATTTCCTTTTAATATGTTTCCTTTTGTTTGTGCGTGGAATTCTGAGAGTTGGGTCGATAGCTTTTATAGAGAACCCACAAAGGATGTGTTTGGTTCGCATATGGGTATTGAAATCGCTATGAAAATTAAATATTTGTGTTGAGTTTTAGTGAGAGTATTTTTTATATTTGGTAGTATGATGAAATTAGAACGATTATTAATATTGATATTTGGTTGTGTATAACCTAATAACTCTATGATAGGAATAAAGGTTTAATTTTAAAAATATAAAAATAAAAAATCAAAACAATTGATCCTAATATAATGACATCCAAAAATTAATATGAACAAAAAAAATCAAAACAAAAATTTAAAAGTACTAATCCAAACTCAAAAATTATATATTATTACTAACAAAATGGAATATAATACCCGTTTTTGTTTCAAAAAGATTGAGGAATCATATTATGTTTTAAAAAATTATCAATCAAACACTGACTATGATTTTGATTATCATCCCTAGTGTATAAACCTATAAACTACACACCCATAATTTTCATGAACAAGCCTGTGCTATATATCAATCATTATATATCATGGACAAGCCTGTGCTATATATCAATCATTATATATCATGGCCCACCATGGGTAAGGTAAACTTGGTTCAGATTATATATATATATATATATCAATCATTATATATCATGGCCCACCATGGGTAAGGTAAACTTGGTTCAGATTATATGAGTTGTCATACCATAAATCAGGGTCCACCATGATCCTAAATTATATATAAATTGTGTATTTTTAGTATTGAAATTGTGAACTCCTAGAATATAAATTGTGTTTCTAAGTCAAAACGCATAACAACTGTAAAAGAGAATTTGTGAATACAATATACGGTCATCAAATTCTAATCTGTTAATATTGTGTGACTGCAATATTTGAAAATAACTTGTGAATACAAAACAAGATAATCAATTACATATATGTTAACATTATGTGTTCGTAGTATACAAATTGTGAATTATTAAAAGGTAATTTGTGAAAATTTGGACATGGGTCCACAAAATAATTTGCGAGATTATATATTTATAGTTAACGTATTATATACATGCATGTACGTTCAATTTCTTTACGGGTACATAATATATTAACTAAAGATATAATATGTTAATTGTAGATACATAGATCATGGTCCACAATATAATTTGTCACATTATATTTATGTTTAGAGAAAATTTCAATTTTGGTCCTATGACTATAGGAGCTTTATTAATTTCAGCACTTGACTTTCAAAAGTGCCAATTTAGTACCTTGACTATGCAATTTTTATCAATTTTGGTCACTCCGGCCAAATTTGACCGGAAAATATTAAAGGTTAAAATAATGAGGGTATTTTTGTCATTTTACCCCACTTTCTTTCTTCTTCCCAGCCGCGTCAGTTTCATCGCCAACCACGTCAGTTTCAATTCGTCGGGATTTCCGACGCCACAATCCTCCTCGACGTCTGGGCAGTCCGGCGAACACAGTGCGACAGACGGTCATCACTCCTCGTCGGCTTCGTCAAAGTCCCCGTCTCCTGCTCCGAGTCGTTCGTCACCTCCTGTCCCTACCAACATCCATTCGCACGAGGAACCCTCATCTTCCCAGCCACTCGCAACCTCTGAAGTTTCACAACCGGTGTCCTCCTCTGAACCCCTTCAACCACAAACTGTGTTGCGCTGGTCTACCAGGTCTCGTTGCCCTAACACCTAGGTACTCTGATTACGTTGTCAACCTAACCACAACCCACTCCTTGCCTCCGACTTTAGTCCCCTCTATCATCGCTCAGGCCTTCAAAGATGCTAGGTGGAGGAAAGCCATGGACGAGGAGTTCGAAGCTTTGCACCGCAACAATACGTTGTCTCTAGTCCCGCGTGGCGGTAGGGTTCCAATCGACTGTAAATGGGCTTACCAGGTCAAGCGCAAATCGAATGGTTCAGTTGATCGATACAAGGCACGCCTTGTGGCCAAAGGGTTCTTACAGATAGTTGGCCGAGATTACTTTGAAACATATGGCCCGGTTATGAAACCGGCCACTATCCGGTTGGTCCTAACCATTGCGTTAAGTAACCGCTGGGGTTTGCGCCAGTTGGATATCAATAACGCTTTCCTGCATGGCACGCTGCATGAGGAAGTTTATATGGAGCAGCCGCCCAGATATGTTGATCCACTATACCCTACTCATGTTTGCAGGTTAACTAAAGTTCTGTATGGCCTTAAATATGCCCCAGAGCCTGGTACCAGGAACTCTCACTATTTTTGCTTCGTTGTGGGTTCACTAAGTCCCAAGCGGATGCTTCACTATTCATTTATTCATCTCATGGTGTGATTGTTTATTTCCTAGTCTACGTGGATGATATTTTGTTGACAAGCAATAATGTCACCGGGCTTAATCGTTTTGTGAAGATTCTGTCAGCCCAGTTTGCTCTGAAGGATCTCGGTACACTCCATCATTTCTTGGGTGTCAAGGTCATCTCTACTGTTGATGGTGTGTGTAACACCCCGTGTTATGGCCTTCAAACCCAGATTAATTATTAAATTAATCCCGTTAACAATAGTTAGAAAGGATTTAATTTGGTTAGGATTCCCTTAATTAATTAATGTGGTCCACAATGGATCGCGGACCCTTGCCTAACTAGAGCCTTAAGCCAGTTGGGAATAAAGAAAGTGGGCCTTACCATTCATATTTCAGATAGGATTTCCAAAATATATAAATAGGGGATTAGAAAGCTTAGAATCTCTTTCCCCTCTCTTAACCCTAATACACGAAATCCCCCAAAGAAACCTAGCAAAAGGAATTTCCCACCACCAAGCCTAGGAAGATCAATCGGAGGGAAATCTTGGGAAAGAACCTTAATAGCCAAGGGAGGATTAATTAAGGCTAAGAGGTAACCCATGTCTTACAAAACCTATTTTCCTTGTTATTGTCTATTGATTGACTCCGTTGAACAATTGAATGTATGATTTTGTATTTGTGCCTTGTTAGAGCTTGTCTTTAGGAATTTGTGATATGGATTATTGTTATTCTTGATATTCTTTGTGGCCCTGTGTGGTTTTGGTATGTTCTTGTATTTAATTGTGTTTAGAGCTTGTCCCTAGGATTTATTCGGTGAATCTTGTTATTGGATACGTTCTTGGCATTCTTGGGTGGGTTTATGCATGCTCGGGTGTTATTCTAGGTTTAGGGTTTGTCGTTAAAGCTTGGTATGATCGAGTTCTTGAGGTTCTTGATGATCTTGAACCGTTGTGTATTTATTCTTGATTCTTGGCATGAGTAACGCTTGTATTTAGGATTTAATTGTGTTGGTTTCTTGGCATAATTCTTGGTGTTCAAGTCCCTATTGTTGTCGTTATGTGTTGAGATGTATTTGTATTGGTTTTGGGTGTAATTGAAGGAATTCCTGGGTTTGGAAGTGCCAAGTTAACATCGTACCAGCGGGGGGTCGGTGGGGGGACGAATCCCCACCTGACCACCCGCCAGTACCCATCCCCCGTACTAGCGGGTGGACGACCACTCGCCATGTACTCGCTGGTACAAGACCGCCCACCGACGGGTGGACGGCGGGTGGTTGGCCACCCACCGTACCACCCGCTGATACGGGCGGGGTATTGTGTTGTTTTACCCCGTTCGTTGTTTTCCCGTGCCCCGTTGTGCCCCGTTTGGTGTTTATGAGTCTCGTGTGATGTTTCGGTTACCGTTTTAGGAATTGTGTGTAGTGGTTATTGTTGTTGTTGAGCTTTAATTATTGTCGTTGTTAAGAATTGACTACTTTTATTGATTGAGTGTTAATGGTTGCTGTTATCATTGAGCATTGGTTGTTGTGATTGATCTGTCTATGATGAGAAAAGAGATGTGATTGGTGGAAAAGATTTGTTGGCGGTTAGCACAACGAGTGCTCTGTCATTGTGCTATAGGCACATACCACCCTTGATTAGTTTGCTAAAGGCATAGATCAAGTTATTAGCGCTGCGGTGCCATGTCATTGTGTTATAGGCATGACCCCTTGATTATTGTGCTATAGGCACAGATCATGTGTTAATGGTACTGCAGTGCTATCAGATCGACGGCTCTGTTGGCGGTATGCCGGTGGGGACCATGCGTGCTCCGGAGGGATAAGGGAGGCGATATAAGGGTGACCTGGAGGTACAGGTTGGAACTGATATAAGGATGGAGAGGAGTAAAGGTTTGAACTTGGTATAAGGTTGGAACATGGACATGTGTGTTGTTAGTGCGTGCTATTGTTGTTAAGCCTTATTGGGCTTGTTTGTTGCTGAGCCTTGTTACTGTCTTATCTTGTGGTTTTAGGTTGCATGCTAGTATCCATATTGAAAATGTGCTGTGAATCTTGAATTCAATTACACCTTTAATGTTCTACATGTTTTTAGAAGAGATATTGCATTATCAGTTAATTAGGTTATTTAATGAACATAAATAACAAAATATAAAAGCATAAAAATAAAACAAGTACTCAGAGATTGATCACGCAGTTTGGAGCGCTTCTCCTACGTCTACGGGGCAACTCACATCTGCCCAATCCACTATAGATGTTCACCAAGGAGTATTACAAGAGGTAAGTACAAATGACCTTCAGCTTTTACCACTACAACCCTTCCTAACACCTATTCAGGACTGAACCGTGCATGTCATAGCAATCTTCAAGCGAAGCTTCAGCTGTACCAGGTACTGTCTGTGCAGACCAGAATTGAACTACAATAATAATAATATAATTTAGCTGATTAATTTAAATAGCACTTGTGTAGATTTCACTCAATATAGCAGTTCACAAAAATGACAACTTTCCTCTTTGGAGAGGCTTCCTTTTATAGCTGTTTTAACCCATCACCTTGATCCTTAATATTAGCATCCCTTTCATTTCGATACACCACAACCATACACATTTGATTTGAAGTAGCCATCCACTCACTTGAGAATTACCAAAGCCACTCAAAAATAATAAACTCCTTAATTATAGCTTTGATTCCATAAACCCATTGAGTGCCATAATAAATCATATAATCATGCATTTTGCTCCAGGAGCTGCTCACTTGAAATATATCATGACCATAATAATTAATTCCATGTTAAATAATAATAGCTCAATATTTCAAACCTGTGGAGCAGCATAAATATGAGATGGTCCAAGCGTATAACATAAAGTATTTCACATTAAATAATGCTAACCCTTTAATAATTAAATTAGCCAAATTATATCAAGGATTTTTTACGTGTATCATTTGTACACTTACACATATGTTGTTTTATGGTGTTCAGTCTGTTGTCGTGTCTCGAGTATTGATCTTGGTTTAAAGCTAGCGTTGCTTAGGATTATATATGTATTCCAGTATCAAAATGATTTTCTTTTATCTACCTATATTGTACTCAACGCGTGGGAGTGGGTTACTCAGCATTATTCGCTGACGGTTGTTACACCATATGTTTTTCAGGTGCAGATCAGTAGCTTCGGAGTGCGCTAGATGGACACGAGGAACTAGATTAGATAGTCGTAGTCTTGGTAGATGGTTTGCGTGCCTTGATTTGTATTTTGATATGTAACTTGGATTATGTGCTGTTTAGTTAGTTAGCCTGTGCATCTAAGTTCTCAAGCTTAGATGTAGCATAGCACCCCGACTTTTATTGTGTAGTCGCTGCTCTGTTTGGGATATTAATGTTAGATTGCCTTTATTTCATAAGTTTAAAAGTTTTAAAAATTAGGGGTGTTACAATGTGTTCCTGTCACAAAGCCAGTATATCACTGATATACTAACACAGTTCAAAACGGATGGTGCAAAGGATGTTTCAACACCACTGGCTGTTTTAGAAAAATTAGTGCCACTACAGTCTCCTGACTCTGCCGTGGATGCTACGCAGTTTCGTCGCTTGGTAGGTCTTATGCAGTACTTTGTAATCACCGGGCCAGATGTGGCGTTTGTGGTCAATCGTCTCTCTCAATTTATGCATGCGCCTTCGGAGCTACACTGGCAAGCTGCTAAAAGACTACTTCGTTATCTCAAAGGGACTATTTGTCACGGCCTGTTCCTTCGCGCTGGTCAACCTTTGTTGCTGCGTGTATATACCGACTCCAATTGGGGCGGATGCGACACTGTTGGACGCTCGACTACGACGTACTTGGTGTATCTAGGCGACAACCTTATTTCCTGGAAGTCCTCACGGCAGAATTCGGTTTCTCGTTCATCAATAGAAGCTGAGTATCAGGCCATAGCTAATGCAGCAGCGGAGGTCCTCTAGATTAAGAATCTGCTATAGGAGCTCAAGTTGAGACTAGTACAACCTCGGGTTCTACTTTGTAATAACCTCAACACCACATGCGTTTGTAAAAATCTAGTGTTTCACTCACATATGAAACAGTTGGCTTTGGACTACTTCTTTGTGCGCGATTTGGTTACTAGTGGTGTGCTAGTTGTTCAACATATTCCGTCCTCCGCTCAGCTAGCCGATCTTCTCACCAAGCAGCTTAGACGTTACCTATCCCTTCGTTTTCGGTCCAAGATTGGAGTCTCCGACGGATCCTTAATCTTGCGGGGCGTGTTAAGGATATATGTGGTTGACATATTTCATCTCTGTATCTGTTCTAATTATGCTCCTTTAGAATAGCTATGTTAGACTAATTGTTGTAACTCCATTCAACTTACCCTCATTTGTGTACTATTTATCGTTAGCTGTTTTACTTCAATAAATACTGAGTTCATTCCCTCACACGTAGTACGTGGTCGACAACAAATTGATCGAGAAGATATTGGTAAGTACCGAATGTAACGAAATAATCTTATGAACAGATTATTTCTGGAAAAAAAAAAAATACAAGCACAAGCAACAAAAGGTTAAGGGTTTAGTATGAGTCGAGAGAAACACTTTTCCCTTAAAACCTTATTTGCTAACTCCCAAAGATGCTAGGAACGTTCTAGCTTAGGTTTTTCAGGATAAAACGTACTACGACTCAATGTTTGAACACTCAAACAAGTGAGCCCAACGAACTAGAACACATACAAATTTGAGGAGGAAGATGAACAGAGTTTTGAGAGAGAAAGTAGGGATTTTTCTCCAGTGTTTTAAAATCACCTGCTCAAACAAGGCTTATATAGGAGAAGGGAGGATAAATAGCATTTATCATGACACTAAAGAGGATAATAAAAGCAGTATGTGTAACATTCATAACAAACAACCATTACTCTCGAAATTAATTCTAAAATTTAAAAATTAGAATTAATTCCGTAACATCAGAATTCATATATAGAATGGTACTCCGAAAAGTGGTTCAAATGGTTCAAAACGTGAGTAGCTCAAACTCAACAACCATTACTCTACAAATTAATTCTAAAATTTAAAAATTGAAATTAATTATGTAACATCATAATTAATACCCAGAACAGTTCTCTGAAAAGTACAGTGGTTCGAATGGTTTAGGGGGTTAAGGAGCATCACAAGTTTTCTTTTGGCTAATGTCATTAGTGTCATTATGCCTATGTATAATTTATACTTTGCCGGCTAGACCCAACCCAAATTACATGTAGGATTCTCTAATAGAACTCTATATACATATTACATAAGACATGTACCTGTCAGCCTCAACTGCACAGCATGCTAGCACCACTAACTCGACTTTCAATTAGACGAACACATGACCATGCTCTGATACCAATTATCGAATCAAGCGTTTATCACTACGTCAAAAACTATAGTTAATAGTGAATGCGTTACTTTATTTTCTTATACTTGTAAAATAATCAGTGCCACGTTTCAATGACATAATACTAGATTCAGCCTTCCAAGCCTATGTGCCCTACATTATATTTTTTCTTTGTTGAATATGTTATATATTATACTTGAATAAATTGCACTTTTGGTCCTGTGACTATTAGGACGTTGATAATTGGAGTACGTGACTTTCAAAACTCTCAATTTAGTCCTTTAACTATGCAATTGTTAGCAGATTTAGTCCTGCCAGCCAAATGTTGACGAAAAAACGTAAATGCTATTAAATTGTTTATTAATGAGGGTAAAACAGTCATTTTAGACACTTCTCCTACCTTCTCCTCCTCACTTCTTCTTTCTTCTTGCTGCAATTCTTCTTCCTTTGCAATGCTGCCACCTCCAAGTAACCCAGGCCAGGAGCTTTCTTTTGACAATCATCCCATAAATTGTCTAATTCTTCCTCCTTTATCTTATCTTTCCTCTGAGTATCATCCCATAAATCATGATTGTTACTTGTTCCCATAGAACTTCCCCTCACCTCAGAAATTTGGTGTTATATAAACTATAAAGGATGACAAGAACAAGATGTAACTAAAAAACCTCAGAGCCAAGATGAAAGTATCTTCCCTTTCTCCACGACCTGCTTCGATTTCTGGACCTGTTCGGGATCAGGACTGACTAAATCAAATCGAATTATCTATGCCGGCGACACTTGTGTTCGCCGTAATTCAATAATGGAGAAGCAAAGTCCAAAGTGAAAGCTTCGAATTTCAATTTGTTTGTGTTCGCCGTAATTCAATAACAGAGAAGCAAAGCCCAAAGTGAAAGCTTCAAATTTCAATTTGTTTGTGTTCGCCGTAATTCAATAACGGAGAAGCAAAGCCCAAAGTGAAAGCTTCGAATTTCAATTTGTTTTCGGGTCCATTGTGAACTGTGGTTGTGAATCAGTTTTTCTAGTGTGGCAGACTAAACTTGGAATTTAAATTGGTTGTATAAAGTCTGCTGAGCTGAAGAATTCAGGCTGAAATTCTATTTTTTTTTGTTCATTACTTTTCATTGGATTCTTTTTATTAACTTGCCTTTCTCATATATTTTTTTTGTGTTATGTGTGTTTTTGCATAGCAGAGATTGAAGACGACAGCGTAAGGCAGTCTGTATTTTGCTTTCACTAAAATCATGGGTGTAGATGTGGAATCTAAGTTGGCTCATGTATCGGTTGAAACTGGAAGTGAGAAAGCTCCTGGCCTGGGTTACTTGGAGGTGGCGGCATTGCAAAGGAAGAAGAATTGCAGCAAGAAGAAAGAAGAAGCGAGGAGGAGAAGGAAGGAGAAGTGTCTAAAATGACTGTTTTACCCTCATTAATAAACAATTTAATAGCATTTACATTTTCCCGGCAACATTTGGCCGGCGATTTGGCCGGCAGGACTAAATCTGCTAACAATTGCATAGTTAAAGGACTAAATTGAGAGTTTTGAAAGTCACGTACTCAAATTATCAACACCCTAATAATCACATGACCAAAAGTGCAATTTATTCTATTATATTTTGACAAAAGTTTTAATAAATATTATGCTTTTATTTCATATTTTCACTTATATAAGAAAGGTGTCCAAAATAAATTATTAGACAGCATGACCCTACCCTATTTGTCAAAATCGGTCGTACGGATATTATGCAACCCAATAAAATAATGAGTGTACAAGTACGTAGCTAGAGTGGTAATAAAATAAGAGTCAGACTCTGAGGTACGGATCAGATTTTATACATGTTTTTTGTTAAATTGATTTTATACATTGTTATAATAATAATATTATTATAATTATTAAACCAAGCGAGTAATTAGTAATTAGTTAATTTGTTAGAAATAATGAAAGTAATGGATGTGGGTCATGCATTGTATGTGAAGAGTGGCCTAGATTATAGCAGTAGTACATGAAACATTAACTTCCTAATTATTAGCTTTTCTTTAGTATAAATATGTGCTTTTATTCATTTGTTAATCATCCCAGCAATAAACATTATCTGTTTATTCCTCTCTCTCTTCTCAAATATATATTATATATATATTATAGATATATTATATTATATTTAATATATATTATATTAAATATATTATATTTAAATATCAAATGTTAGATATATTATATTTAATATATATTATATTAAACTAGTTTTTTTTACGTGCATTGCGCGATTGGGATGATGCCCAATGTTTTTTTTTTTTTTAAATTTTTAAATAAGTACTTTAAAGTATATCAGGACAAGATTATATTGAAATTGTTCATGCATAGATAATTGAATGTTAAATTTGCGTATTTAAATAGGTAATTTTAAGTGTACAAATGCAAGATAATATAGTCAATATTGATTATAATTGTCAATAAAATAATTGTATAGGTATGGTTGAAACCAAATACGGGACATAAGGGATTGCAAATAAAATTAAGGCATAAAATATATACTAATATTGAAGAGCTAACCGCTGATTGCCAAACAAGGACATTGTGAGATAGTTTCTCACTTCAATTTATTGTGTGATTTGAATACTCTTTTTGTAAATAAATCCCTCAAGTAGTTAATATGATTGGCTTAATTATATTTTTTATTTTTAATTTTTTTTAAAAAATATTATTATTATTATTATTATTATTATTATTATTATTATTATTATTATTATTATTATTATTATTATTATTATTATTATTATTATTATTATTATTATTATTATTATTATTATTATTATTAAATATATGTATACCCTTAGGCATTTTACATGTTAATCTAAACAACTAATTTTTTCAAATATCTTTTTACCAACCGTTGATATAATTCGCTTGTCAAATCCGCTAACTGCCGATTGTCAAACAAGGATATTGCGAGATAGTTCTCACTTCAATTTGTTGTGTGATTTGAATACTCTCTTTGTCAACAAATCCTTCAAGTAGTTGATATGACTTACTTTATTAATTATATTTTTTTAAAAAAATTTCATGATATTAATAAAATACTTGGTAATTAAAAAAATAATGCACAAAAAAGATAATAGACAATGTAGTGAATATAATCAATTGATGAATTTGAATGTAAAGAATTTTTACATTGGAGAAAAATAAAGAGAATATAACTAATAAAATTATTTCTCTTAATTAATTTATTGATAATGAATAATTTTTTTTAATAAAGACATTGTAGTGAATATAATCAATTGATGAATTTGAATGTAAAGAATTTTTATATTGGAGAAAAATAAAGATAATATAACTAATGAAATTATTTCTCTTATTTAATTTATTGATAATGAATAATTTTTTTTTAATAAAGACATTGTAGACACATAATTCTAAATTAAAGAAATGCATATGTATTATTTTTTGTTGTAGCTACTAAATTATTGTTTTAATTTAATAAGAGGAAAATAGAGTATTAATTATGCCAACTTTGATTGGGATGAGGTTCGAACCTAAGACCTTTCTTATTGAAATCAATGAGTAAGTTAACGGTGAACTAACAGAAATTAACGGAAAAGATAATATTTAACGGAAAAGTTAACGAATAATCATATTCATTAAGGATAAATTAGTAAATCTTAAGGAAAAATTAAAATTTGGTCAATCTAAGCCATTGATTTAATTAAAAATTTGACCCGCCATTTGTTCTACCCATTATAGGCCTAACTCTCTTGGGCTCTTATTAGTATAAATAAATAAATATATTATATTTAATATATCTAACCTACATGTTAATTGCAACACTTCAACCACTCGTTCTAGAGAAGAAATATCCCTCCACACGACAAAAAGAAAAAAGAAAAAAAAAACAAAAAACAAAAAAAAAAAAAAACAAAAAACAAAAAACAAAAAACAAAAAGAAAAAAGAAACAAAACAAAGCAACAACAACCATTTCGCCAAGAAGGAACATGCGTGTGTAAAATTTTGCACGAGTGGTCGTTATCATATCATTGTTTGGTAATGGATTAATTGTTTCTGAAATATGAGGCAGTGGTTTGTTTCTTAGGATTCGTTGCATCTACCCCTATAACTATAATTCTAGAATGTTAGGTTAAAGGATTAATTCAAGTTTGAAAAATCTTCTAAAAAAAATTAATGAGTGTACGTAGCTAGAGTGGTAATAAAATAATTTTTTAATAATTCATAGTTGATAATCGAGCTGCTAATGTAATTGTATTGTTAGATGATCAGCTTTTGTATGTGTGCATCATGTATGATGACGAGGGAAATTGCTAATTGAGATCGATCTTATGGCTTAAATCTCTTTTGTTCATGCGCTCAAATTGAAATTTTAAGTTGAAAATGATGAAAATATCCTTAAAATTTTTAGATTGCGACATGTCTTAAACGGATGGGTGACCGGCGTAATAAATTTTTGCACTAAAACAATAGTCATGGATGACAATTGGTAAGAATTAAACATGTGGACCAAAATTATTATTTTATTAATACTCGTGTGACCAAAATTGATATTTGCTCATTATTATATTCATGTAAATCTTGATCCGAATCAGTATCTAAATTGTTAGGAGTCTAGTAGTTGTGTATGTTAGGTGAAAAAGGACACTTCTTGTGCCCTTAAGAGTTACATGAAAGAAGCCATTCCACCAAAGAACAAACCAACAACGCCTCCGAAAACAAAGATGATCCACATGCAAACATGGGAAAGAAAGGGAAAGGTAAACGCACTTCTTCAAAATCTTAATTGTGTTTGTCATTTGAAAGATGAATTTGATAGTGAGGAAGAAGAGGTTCCACCTCAAGTTTACCTTGGTGAAGAGGCATTGGCCTTAATTCACAAGGGATTCCCTAGGAAGAGGGGAGATCCCGGTGCATTTGTTGTTTCGTGTGCTATTAAAGATTGTGATTTTAATAATGCATTAGCCGACTTTGGAGCCTCTATAAATGTAATGCCATCGCATGTGTTTGAACGGCTAAGATTTCCGTATATTTTTACTACACCACTCATTGTTCTATTAGCCGACGGGACCGTAAGGTACCCAAGAGGGGTAGCGGAGGATGTGCTAGTGAAAATAGGTGAAAACATTGTGCCGGTTGACTTTGTGGTCATTGATGTAGGATAGGATCTTGATGTACCTTTAATTCTTGGTAGAACTTTTTTTGGCTACTTGTCGTGCTCTCATAGACGTGGGCACGGGCAAGTTAACTTTGAGATTGAATGACAAAGAACCTAATGAGATGACAAAGGTGCAAAAAGAGAATGTTTGTGCGGTGAAAAAGAAGGTCAAGGTGAAAGCCAAGATCAAACCATGGTGGGAGATTGAAAAAGTGTCATGGGTACCTAAGTGCCTCAAGACCAATGGCTTTGAAGGATCTTGAAAGAAAAAACACTTCCGTCTAGCAAAAGACGGTAAATGTAGCACTACTTGGGAGGCAACCCAAGCTTTACTTTTGCTTTTGCTTGTTTTGGTCGTTTTGTTTGAATAAAGTTGCATTTGAAGACCGTGTATATTGTTTTTGTCTTTATTTGGTACCATAGAAGCTAACTTTTTAGGGAATCATGGTTGGAAACGGCATGGGAAACCGACCACAGTGGAGAGGAAACGAAGAAAAGAGCACAAAACGGAAGGAGGAGGAGAGAGCACAACCCCCCAAACCTCCCACGCATGTTGGAGTGGCGTGGGAGGAGAACAGAAATTCCAACGCAAAACAGGGCACTCTCCAACATGCGTTGGAGGAAAACAGAAACTCCAACACACTCTCCAACGTGCGTTGGAGCTACGTTGGAGGGAAACATAAACTCCAACGCACTCTCCAACGTGCGTTGGAGCTACGTTGGAGGGAAACATAAACTCCAACGCACTCTCCAACGTGCGTTGGAGCTACGTTGGAGGAGTCCATAAAATCCAACGCACTCTTCCACGTGCGCGAGACGTACAGCAGGGGGAGCTTCGGGAAAACAATCCATTTAAACCCCTATTTCTCCCATTCTTCCCCCACACCACGCAAGGTTTCTTCCCCACGCACAACGTAATCCATTCCCACATTTTCTTCCATTTTTGAAGTTCCAATAATCAATTACTCTTCAAATGTCTCAAGCTCTAAGAGGTGACCATTCTAATCTACTATACTCCATTGTTGAGTGTTCAAGTTTTCTCTCTCTAGAATGGAAAATCCTAGTCTACATTCTTGTGTGTATAATGATGGTTGAAATTGGTAAATATAGACTAGTTGTGTGTAGAAGAACATGAGATTGTAAGAAATTTGTTGATTTGATGCTTTGATTGTTGAAGATGAAGTACATGCATGAACCCTAGCTTGTAATTTGGGGATTTTTGAATGAATTGCATATATTTCTTCTATTTTGTGAAATTGATGATAGACAAAAAGCATGACTGCATGATCTCTAGGATCAATTGTGTATGAAATTGAGTGTATGCCACACTAATCTTTGAATTTGCACACACCCTCTCTTCTTTTTTAAGTTAATTTCTGAATTAGTATTATTATTATCACTACCACAACCAGCACCAACGCCACAACACAACCACAATATCTCTACCACCATGACACCACCACTACCACCACCACAACCATCACCACACCACACCACCACCATCAACACATTATTATTATTAGAACAAATAATATGTTCATTTTTAGGAAAATGAATCAAACAGAAAAAATGCAATTTCTTAACTTTTAGCCAAACAGAAAAAAATAGTTTTCTAACATTCAACCAAACACCAAAAAATTAAATTATTAATCATTTTCCGGAAAACATTTTCCAGGTTTCCTAACGTACCCTAAATGTCTAAATTGATGATATCACCATCACTTTAGCAGTAAACTTGCTGTAATGTCACATATTCTTGGGGGGGGGGGGGGGGGGTGGGGTTGAAAATTTTTATGTTACTTAAAACAATAAATTGGTAGGTCTTGGTTTTAGTTGAGAAAAAGTGGAGCAATGCTTCTTTTCTACCATTTCTTTAACTTGCTGACGTTTTCTGGCAGTGAAGCAAATGTTTTCTACTTGAGGTGCTACCATGTTGTTTTTATTTTGGTAGCTTGTGTACCCTTCAATATCTTGATATCAAGTTTCCATTTAGAAATGTGAACAATACTTTTCGCTTTAGTCTTTCCTGCAGTTAATTGGATGGGGGAGGTGTATGGATCAACTAGGTTATCATAATGATGCTTACTAGTAAGGCTAACAGCCTGAGAAGAAATTATTTTAATGCCAAAAAGTAATTACATAATGCTATTTAAAAAGAAAAAGAAAAGGTGTTAGTCCGATAAAGTTTCATACTTGTTGATCTGAAACCTTGGTGTTTCTAGCTGTTAGGATCTTGCGCTTTGCTGTTTGTGACCCTGATTGGTCTGACAAACAAGAAGCAATTCAATCACTAGACTTCAGATATAAGGACATATGGAGAACTGTTGGGTGAGTTACTTTTAAATGCTTTACAAAATATTTTATTGTTGGGTGAGTTTATTTTCCTTTTTTCTTAATATTTATCTTTTAAAAGTTCTAGCATTTTCTTAATTTAACAGGCAGTGCTCCAAAACAACTGATATCAGCATGAAAATGCTACTTTTTTTTTTTTTTTTTTTTTTTTTTTTTTTTGTCTTTATCCTTTCGGTGAATCATATCTTTTTTGAACTTAACCACTATGCATCTAGCTTTACTTAAGTGTTTGTCAATCAACATGTTCTGCTTCGACCGTCTTTATCATTTTATAGCATATTGCTTTTCTTTCACTATATAGAACTTGTATGAACAATGGAAGTATCTCTGTTTATTTACAGGGTAGAGAACGTGGGGAGTGAAGTATTTTTGGGGCAGGAAAGGTTTTCTCCTTCAAGCACTTCTCTTCCCATGTAAGTAAAAGGCCAATTACCTAGTTTGTGTACCTCTCTTTGTCATGCTTACAAGGGAAAAGTATATCTGCTTGGTGATTTGATGTTATAGTTGTTAAGGGTGATTATTGGTCACTGGTAATATGCAACATACCAGAAGACTGAGAATTTGTGAGTTTGGTGTATTTCTTAGGGCCAACAAGCAAACAGTCATGATGCTTTCTTGTAGCTCTTGGCCAAGTTATTTTAAACAATTGTTGGGTGTTTTTGAATGGATGTAGTTGAAAAACAGTGTCTTTCAAATTACAAGTTCAAATGCCTAATAAGAGAAACATGGTGGTTGAAAGAGTTGTCCTGAACTCTGGGAATTGCAAATCCTTATTGCCTTCATTTACTCTGAACTCTAATAATCACTAGAACCCATTCTATCTGCTCCTCCTGTCCTCCAATGTTCTTGAAATCAAGCAATTCAATGTTCTCTACGTTGTTTTATCATTCGTTATATACTTATAGCACTTTTTCACCCTGAATTATTCAAGTGGTTGTTTTTCCTCTTGAAATGTTAAATGAACATATTTACAATTAAAATAAATATTTCATTTATTTTTCTTCTCCAACAAATTATTACCACAATTTGGTTCAAACTAAATAGACACTATAGCAATCAAATTGAAAAATTCTAATTACAATTAAAATCTAAATCTGATATTTAGAGTTTATTAAAATCGCGAATTGGGACGGCTGGTTCATGTTGCGAACTGAAAAAATAAAATACATTTATTGTTGAATTTATACTATTTGAAAATAAAAAATAAAATTTTAAAATAAATACGGTTCAAAATTGCGAATTGGATTGGGGTCCGGTTCAATTCGAATCGAATCGTGGTCATTCTTACGTATACGCAATAATTTGTTGGAGAAGAAAAATAATAAAATATTTATTTTAAGGGTGTAAATGTCAATTTAATATATCAGTGGCGGAAAACTGCCACTTTTAAAATAATTGAGGGGCTAATGTGGTTACATGAATAATTCAAGAAAAATAGTGTTATAAGTATATAACTCGGGGAAAAATGATATTTTTCTTTAAAAAAAAATAAGGAGCACATTAAGGGGGTGTTTGGTTGGATGGAAAATATTTTCCATGGAAAATGTTTTCTTCAAAGTGAAGGAAAATGTTGGTTTATGTTGTTTGGTTGGATGGAAAACATTTTCCATTGGAAAATGGATTCCTCAAAGTGGAGGAAAATGAATTCTTTGCAAAGGGGTGGGATTTTGTTTTCCACAAGGATTGGGAAGAAAAATAACATGAGTGGACCATTTTACCCTTATGGAAATTTCTTAATTACATAGACACCTATTTATTCATTCATTTTTTTAAGGGCATATTGGTCTTTATATTCATTATTCCTTATCTTTCTAAATCCAACCAAACAATGGAATCCATATTCCCAGTAATTTCATTTCCACCAACCAAACAATTGAATTCATTTTCCTGGAATTCATTTTCCATGGAATTTCAATTCCATTTCCCTTCAAATATTTTTCAGCGAACCAAACGAGCCGTAAAAGTTATTAATTTTGAGATGACTTGTCATTTATTACGCAAATCTAAAGACTTCACGCGACATTATACGGATGCATCGCAACTGCCCCTTTGCCTTCTTGCCCCGTGAATATTTAGCACCGTTTGACCATTAAGCATACATTCAAAAATAATTTTTTTTTATGTATTATTAATCCAATCAAGTTAGATAGATTATTATTTTTTTTTTTTGGTGAAAAGTTAGTGAGATTATTAATTTGGTATTTGATACTCACAAGATTACATGTTTTACTTTCAACAAAAGCGGTCTACTAACCCACTTGATTTGAGCTGGACAACTATGGATAATCTTAAATTGGTTTGCCAGCTAAAGTCACAATGTAGTAATTGTGGGTTTCCTCCAAAAGAAAAAAATCAAAATTAATATATCGTATCATTAATAATTGAATACTTCATTATCATTTATATATCATTATTAATATGATGTTGTGGGTAGCGTACCATATTCTTTAAATCAGTTATTGGAATTAGTATACTTCTTTTTTTTTTTTTCTTAGAAAAATGGTGAAAGCAAATTAACGATTATATTATAGTACCCAATGATTGAAATAAAATGGTGAAAGCGAAGGGTGGAACATAATTTTAGTATATGAAAGTTATGAATTTGGTTCTTACCAACACTCTCAAATAATGACTGCGAGTTTTCTTTATCGCAAAAAAAAAAAAATAATAATAATAATAATATTTCACAAACTTTTTTCATTTGTAAATAAATTCAAATTAAATTATATGCTACTCGCATTTAAAAGTTGCACTTCAGATGAGCGAATTATTCAGTGGACTCGGGTCCAATTATTCACAATTTACCTTTTAAATATTCTCAATTTGTATCCTACGAATACACAATGTTAACATATATAATATATTCACAAATATCATTCTACAATTGTTATGTGTTTTGAATCAGAAACACAATTTATATTCTAGAAGTTCACAATTCTAATACTAAAAATACATAATTTAGGACCAGGGTCCACGACCTTCGAGAACAAATATCTGACGGGGAAGAAAAAAGGGGGAAAAAGTGAAGTTTAAGCGCATATGGCATGGAAAGGAAATCTTATTTCGGTAAGACGTGATCTGGATTGTAGTTCAGATTCAAGTTGGTTTAGTGAGGGCGACCGTGAAAGTAACCGAATGGCTAAGTCTTTTAGTTGTCCGAGATTAGAATATCAAAGGAGGACGTTGCAGATGCCCGGGGCGGACATGACTTCTAAGGCTAGAAGACCACTGGAAGACACCCAGGACTATAGCATGTCGTGAAAGAAGCACATTGGGCTGGCGTGCTTCGACTGTGTCTCCGGGGCACAGTTGAATGTCAATATCATGAACGCGAAGTGCAGGATACCAGGCCAATAAACCCGGGCAATCACTCCCGGTCCACCTTGCAAGGTAGACTCTGGTTCATGGTATAACAACCGCTTCGAATGAGAGTTGGCTTTAAAACACCAATTAGCAAAACACATAAGATTGTGTTAGACCATCTCAAGTAAAGCGGTTCTCAAATATGTAATATTTTTTTAGTAAAAATATAATACTTTTCTGAGTTAAAAAAAAATATTAAAGTTTCACATATATTTTTCAAAATTAAGTAATACGTATTTATTTATTAAAAAATATTATATTTTTATTAAAATGTATTATTTATTACGGTTAGGTTTTTTTAATTTCAATTTGTTCGATTTTAAAAAATTGAAACCATTAGGTTTAACATTTTAGTTCGGTGCGATTTAAGAACCTCAACATTTTCTAGTGTTCTAGAGCAAATAATTAATCAATTAATTATTTTTACTAATAATTTAGGATTTAAAATTCATTCTGCATCCATTGAGTTCAATCAAGCTCATTTAAGGAGATTATAACCTTTTTTTTTTCATACCGTCGTCGTCCCAACGAGCTTAGTCACCGACCTCTCAATTGCCCGGGCCGCGACTAAAAGGGGAAAGGAGCCGACCATGGATTTAGGCGAAGAAGCTCGGCATAAGCGGTCAAAAGGTGCAAACTCCCCCAACCACATGCAGATAATCGACACCCTACTCTCCGGGGGTGACGAGTCTGCCACCCTTTTAGACACGATCAGCGCGGTTCCGCTCGCCTCAGAGAGCACATCCGACTGGACCACTAATCGGGTCAGGTTAACGAGGTGATCGAGACTTAATTTAGGTATAATTATCCTGACCCCACTATTTTCTGCGATTCTTTTTTCATGATTTGACTCGAGTATGTTTTTGTAGATGGGTTGTACCCTGGCTAGCCTATTGTGTTGTGCCAAGGCCACCGAGAACCTCTACCATAAGGACATGGATGTAGCCAAGAAGTTAATTGCTCGTCGAGATGGTAAGATCAGAGAGCTCGGAGGGAAAGTCGAGGCAACGGAGAAGAGGGCCGAGGCGCCGAGAGGAGAGCCAAAGCAGTCGAGGAGAAGATCGCCACGACAGTTGCAGATTACAAAGCTTCGACGTCATTTCTGAACGACGCCGTCATGATGCATGGGCCCTTGGCCACGCGGATCTTCACCAAGCAGGCCGTCGCTTAACCCTTCTTCTAAGCACCGAGGGCGGGGAGAAACTGGTGCGAAAATGCGGTTGGTGGGCCTTCCTATGCGAGAAGAGAAAGATGCAGACTGATGTGAGGGAGGCTCTCGCCGAGTTGTTGGTGATAACTGCATAGTAGTCCTTGGCGTCCAACTCGAGGAGGTTGCCAATCCCGAGCATGCAGCATACACTGAACCCGCCCTTACCGAGCCACATCCAGCTCAACCTGAAGCCGAGGAAGAAAAGACTCCCCCGCGGGAGTGAAATATCCAATGACTATGCAGCTACATACTGTTTTAGTTCTACCCAGAGTGAATCATATACTGAATCTGTCTAGACTGAGGCAACTAGTTGAACAGTTGGTAGGCCTCAGTTAAGGTTGAATTGTTAACTGGAAAAAAAAAAAAAAGAGAGAGAGAGAGAGAGATTGGAAACTGGTGGTGGAAACAGTAAGTAGACAGAGCTGCAAGTTTACTTGAATGAAAATCTGGTGGAGGATGATGAATCTGTTGAGTTTGATGTTTTAAAGTGGTGGAAGAGTCATAGTGAGAGATTTCTCATTCTCTCCGAAAATGGCTAGAGATGTACTTGTAGTTCCTATATCCACAGTTACCTCTGAAAGTGCATTTAGTACAAGTGGAAGGGTGCTTGATGCATTTAGGAGTTCTTTAACTCCTAAAATAGTGGAAGCCCTACTTTGTACACAAGATTGGTTGAGGTTACCCAATCAGCCAATCACAATTGAGGAGAACTTAGATGATGTTGAAATATTGGAGAAAGGCCAGGTAAGTATCAATGTATCATTCCCATTTGTTTATGTTATTCTTATTGGTATTCTGTTTTGTAACTTGTATGTAATTAATTATGCTTATCTGTTTTGCAGAGTTGCCCACGGGAGATTCATCTACTCTACCATCAATGCTGCCATCAATTCCTGTAATGTATTTATTATTTGTTTAACATTCCCATTTCTTTATGTTAATTTGTTATGGTGTTGTTTGTTGATGGCCTTCATAAGTTGTAACTCTAAGAGTCTAAGTGGCTTGACAACTTTCTATAATTCTATTATGGAAATGTTACTACCCTTAGATGAGTTGAGCCCTTGAGCCCAACTGATGTCCCATTTCTGCCATTCTGGATTTCTGGTATACCTCTAACTTGATCTCTGTTCAGTTTTAATGCATTAATATTTATTTTCAATGTGTGTTTTATTGGCTGGCTATGATGATACTTCCACCTTTGTCTGAATAAATGGAATGGTGTTGGTATGTTGCTAATGTGTTACTGTAACACATTCTGAGCAATTTGCTCACATCCTTACTTGATATGGAAAATTACAATTTGAGCCTATTAGCCTAATGCCCCTACAACATAGTTTTGTTAGTTGTTAGTTTTGTTACTTAGCTTTTTACTTAATATATGTTACCTATTTCTTAATATTGTTTCAAGTGTTGATACTAACAGGAAGAAAAGTAGTGTAAATCACTAAATTGTAAAGTGTAGAAGTGCTGACTTGCTGTTGACTGCTGATTGCTGACTTCTGAGTGCTGACTGTTGAATATTTTGAAATTAGAACTTTTAAGTTTAACTTAGTATTTTGTTGAAGTTAAACTTAGATTTTTGTTGTAAAATTAAGAGTAAATATCACTTTTGGTCCCTTGACTATCATAGCTGAAGCACTTTTGGTCCTTGACTATTGTTTTTTTCAATTTAGGTGCATGACTTTCTAACTAGTATCACTTTTGGTCCTACGATCCAATTTGCCGGCCACATATTACCGGAATTCCAACCGGAAAAATAATATGTATGCTATAATTAGAAGGGTATTTTGATCTTTTCAAATTTATTTTATTTTCCTCTTTTATTTTTTTCTTCTTCCCCTTTCTTTCCTCAGCTCTCCCGTTCTTCATCAGCTCAAGAAATGGAGAGGAAGAATCAATTGAAGCTTGGATTATCTTCGTAGACAAATAGAACGGGAGAGCTGAGGAAGAAAGCGGGAAGAAGAAAAAAATTAAAAGAGGAAAATGAAATAAATTTGAAAG